TAGTGATTTGATTGATTCGTTTGCTATGTCTTTTTGTGTTGTAGACATACTTAAATAAAGCATTTACATTTTTTTATTTTGTTGTCAGTCAACTAGACCAAAACATTTCGTCTTCCCCCTCCCCATGAACATATACGGACGTATTCAATAAAAGCTGCTAGTCTGGGTGCTAGGCTTCGGGTTGAGGGGAACAAAATTCAACAGATGATGTTCCTTTCAACGCAAAAAAATAAAAATAAATAAAACGGGTTTAAAAGCCAGTTCTATGAAACCAGCAAACCGTGACCGGCGCTCAAGTAAGGGGACAGAACCACTCGTCAATTTCAACCATATGGATTGGGTGCGTTTTTTCTTTTTGGGGTGCTGCTTTGTGTGGTATGTCATTCAGGCACACTGACATATGTCATGTACGTGACGTCGTTCAGGATTTTGACATGTGTCAGCGGAGTGACATCAATCGATATTTTAAAGTATGACAGGCATGTCATCAGTCGAGTTTATGTCATATCGATATGAAATAACATAAACATAATCGAGATCATAGGCATATTTACGTGAGATTTAAAGTTCCCTTACATAATTATAAAATGATTTTAGTAAATTTTATGGAGACGAAAAAAACTATAGCGTTTGAAGATTGGTAAGTAAAGCAAGATGACTGTTTCTCTTATAATTTGAACCACATTACTTAAGTGAGCATATATGGTAAAATGCCGTCAATCGTACTATCGTAGGGTAAGTTTTAAGCCATTAGTATACCTAATACATACCTGGCATTTCACGAGGGTAGAGATTTATTCTCACAGACTCATCAGGTGCGCATCATCAGACAATGACTTTGCAACCAAGTGGCGCTACGAGGATTTGTGAAGAACAAAGAGCACAGAAAGACATTGTCTTTAAAAGCAAAAGTTCTTCATCACAATGAATATATATATATATATATATATATATATATATATATATATATATATATATATATATATATATATATATATATATATATATGTGTGTGTGTGTGTGTGTGTGTACATATATATATATATGTTACGGTCAAAGCCCGAAGTCGGCCAATACTAGGATTGGCCGGCCAATCCGCGCATTGGCCAATATCGCCTCCCATAGGTAGGTCAAAGTCCGAAACTTTGCTTGATTTCGGCCTTTGGCCGGCCAATCCGCAGACTGGCCAATGTGGACCGGCCAAAGTCTGAAATAGCTCTTCATTTCGGCCTTTGGCCGGCCAGTCCGCGGACTGGCCATGGTGGAACGGCCAAAGTTTTAATTAGAAGATCATCTGGCTAGGGACGACCGGCCAAAGTCCTAATTAGAAGATCATGAGCAGATTTTGGCTTTTTATGCAGTAAGGATCATGAAATTAAGTCTTTATTGATTATTAATTACAGTAAATGACAGAAATATTCAAATTTTTTATTGTACTATAGTCTCAATCTATCAATATCATCATTTGTTACAACGAGTTGAACTTTTATGGCATTTAGAATTACATAGCAGCTTGTTATTTTTACACTTGAAGCGATTTGTTGTGCACTTAATTGTGCAATTGCTGCGAGTGTAGCCTTGGCCCCCAGTCAATGATTGTGAAGATTCGATGGTTCGTAGAGATTTTTCCTCAGTGCCAACTGACGACTTTATGAGCAGTTTTTCGTGAATAATTGAAAACTCACTTCTAGAATATATTTGTTTTAGAACACCATTGTCACCCACTTCATCATCTTTAAATTTTGTATTTGATGCTTTAAGCATCTTAGCACCTTGAGTTTGCAAGCCAGTATGAGCTGCTGATCTGTGTTCCATGATGTCTTGTTTGTTGTGACACAATCTGAAGGTAATGTTCCCTCCGTACCCTTCGTCTGCTTCATTGGGTATTCCACAAATAGCAAGGACATCGTTGCCACAGGATCCAAAAGAATGAGCTGCACTACAATGTTTTTCACAAACTATACAGAATCGGTTGGCCACAATATTGTCACGCAACTGGTCTGGACGTTCCGCCACGGCAGTAGATGTGTTAGCTGAGGATGTCGTTGCATTTATGGCAACCTCTATTTCTTGTTCAATGTTCTCAAGATCTTCCTCAGTAACTATTTTATCGAGAGCCCATATATGGAAACTAACATGGATTTACATTTTTTTCTTTTGACAGCCATCTGCTATGTCTGTCTCATGGTCTGACGGCCCTTTTGATCCATGTCGCCTTGCATATAGAATGCTATACAAACAAGAGCTAAACAATACGTTACTCTCAATGAAAACGCACCCAGAATAATGAAAATGCGATCACAACTTAGTCTAGATAGAACATTGGCCAGGACATCCCGGCCAGTGCGCGCATTGGCCGGCCAATGTACGAAATACGATCTTAGTTCTAAGTTCTTCGGGCTTTGGCCAAGAGAGCCGGCCAATCCGCGGATTGGCCGGCCAATCCTAGCTTTGGCCGCACTTCGGGCTTTGACCGTAACATATATATATATATATATATATATATATATATATATATATATATATATATATATATATATATATATATATATATATATATATATATATGTGTGTGTGTGTGTGTGTGTTTGTACATTTACCAGCAACTATCTAGTGTGTGTAGTTAGCTTATAAACCACACACTTGTAGGACGTACAGTTAAATCGAATGAATGACTGATGGTGTGGCATTCAGAAGAGTGACAGGACCACCTATCTGTCATCTGTCACTGACACGTGTCTCCTGTTGCCGCTCCCTCTGTTCTTGTCCCGACCGGTGCGGCTATTTTCTCTACCCCCGGCACGGTATTGACAATCAAAACGTGATACCCGACACGGTAAAAAGAAAATCAGAATTGCCCTTGATATCTGTATATCAGCCAGAGGACGTAACTCTCAACAGAGTTTACGTTCTTGTTTTGTTGTATTCAAAAATTTCTATTGTAGGAAAATAAATGTAGGTTTGAAGTTTAATTCAAGTTATTTGTATAAAATATATTTCTTGAATTGTACTTTGATAAATTGAACTTAAATATTTAAGAATTGCAAATGAATAAGTGATATGTAAATATAGCAACACTATGTGAATGGAGCGGAATTATAAATAATATTAAATCAAACAGAAGGGAGATGGTTTAATACTTTTGTGACAAAGAGTGTGACTCTAAGTATTGTCTTGTCAAAGTTAGCAGCTTAATTGACAGAGATTTAGACAACTCTTTTCTTGCATTTCTGAACTTAAATGTTTACTTTATTTTACTACCCAACAAAGGGCTGTTAAAATTTAAAGACGATCTTACCATATTAAAAAAAAATATACTTTTATATTTTTGACTTCCAGATACGTTTGATACAAGGTTTTTTTTTTTTAAATTCCAAAACATATTTTAGCAAATTTTTAAAACATATTTTTAAAATTAAAATTTTATTTTGGACTTTCCAACGCTAATTTTGACCAAAGAAATATTACCCCCTCCACCAGCCCCCACCCCAAATACCCAAAGCTATCCACATTCAGTTCTGCCTCACACGTTGTTTACAAATTTCACCAGCCCCCCCCCCTCCTTCCAACCCAGACTCGAACCCGAGCCTTTAACCACACTGAGACTCCGCCTGGCAATCAGTCTACATCTGGCCAGATTTTACCCAAACTCTCAAACCAATTTCTTTTCTTCTAAATTACGCCGCGCTCATTAATTTCGACAACAGCAAAAAGCATTTCAGTTCCAGCGCCCGGCCGCATTAGAGAGCGAATCCCAATTCGAATCAAATGAGTTTCCAGACTGGCCATACATTTGTAAGAAAATTTGGTGGCGCCCCGCGCATTAATAAAAGTGGAATGACGCAGCCGAATGCATTACTCCGCATTTTAAAACAATTCTTCAACAAAAAGTGGGGAAAAAAAATTATGAACGTCGGATGATCAACGCGATGACGAAAATCGAATGATCTTTTTTTTTTTTAAATCTCCTACCAGTAGAAAAATCTGAACCTTGTTTTTTAAATAGACAAGGGGAGGTAAGAAAAATCGAAATCTCGTAACGGCGCATGCATCTGTTGTTGAGTCGAGAACTGGTCGATGTGGGGAGGTTTTTTTTTCTCTTTTTTCTTCTCTTTCCTTAACAAATCAATCAGCAGCGTCGTCGAATGAAAGGGCCGGGGCAGGGGCGTATTGATTGGCTGCACGGCGTCTTTCGATTCACGGGGTTCCTAACTAGCATAATAAAGTTTTGTCGTTAAAGTGTGGCGGCACCTGGGACAGGTAGGGAATCGGGGAATGCTTTGTTGGTGCCTGAAGCTGATCGAACCTGGGATTGGGGAATGCTTTGTTGCTGCCTGGCGCTGATCGAATCAGGGACAAGTAGGGAATCGGGGAATGCTTTGTTGGTGCCTGACGCTGATCGAACCAGGGGATTAGGGAATCGGGGAATGCTTTGTTGGTGCCTGGCGCTGATCGAATCAGGGACAAGTAGGGAATCGGGGAATGCTTTGTTGGTGCCAGACGCTGATTAAACCACGGGATTGGGGAATCGGGGAATGCTTTGTTGGTGTCTGACGCTGATTAAACCAGGGGATTAGGGAATGCTTTGTTGGTGCCTGACGCTGATCGAACCAGGGGATTGGGGAATGCTTGGTTGCTGCCTGACGCAGATCAAACCAGGGGATTGGGGAATGCTTTGTTGGTGCCTGACTCTGATCGAACAAGGGACGAATAGGGATTCGGGGAATACTTTTTTGGTGCCTGGCGCTGATTGAACATGGGACAGGTAGGGGATTGGGGAATGCTTTGTTGGTGCCTGACGCTGATCAAACCAGGGGATTAGGGAATCGGGGAATGCTTTGTTGGTGCCTGACGCTGATCGAACCTGGGACAGATTTTTTTAAAAAATTGAATAATAAAATTCAAATTTTTAAGTTGTAATATTTTACTTTTATTTTTCAATTTTAATATTATGTTTTGTTTTTTTCTAAATTAAAAAAAAAATTGTTTATTTTTTCTAGGTCAAGATCTGGTTTCAGAACAGGAGGTCAAAGTACAAGAAAATCATGAAACAGGGCGGCGCCCCTCCACCCCAGCCCCCCTGCTCCCAGCAGTCGTCGCATCAGGGCTCAGCCCCGTCCCCGCCACAGTCCATGGTGGGGAGCATCAAACAGCAGCAAGCCTCGTTCCTCGACGATGGACCACAGGGGTCGGACATGCACCCCGGCTCACAGGGGTCGCCCACCCCTCAACACAGTCTTCAACACCCGCACCCCCAGGGGACGCCGACCCCGATGATGTCGGCGTCGTCGCCCATGAACCAGCAGGGCAACGTCCTGTCGTGGTCTGAGCTCAACTCCGGCCCGCCCTCGGGCCACCCCCACGGGCAGCACCACGCCCACCAGCAGATCGGCAACGCCTACATGTCTCACTACTCCTCCTGGTACAGCCAAAACAACCTGCAACATCAGCAGTCGTTACTAACATAAACCACAACCCAGCATCTCACACACACCAAAAATTACAACAACAAAAATGCTGTTGCGTCATTGAATTGTCTTAACCATGACGTCACCAAAAAAAATCCTCGTCATCGACCTCCATTACAGACTGACGTCACACATTTCAATTATCACATTTTGAACTATATCACTTATAACTGTCAATTCTACAAGATTAGGGAGTGTCTATAGTACTCAAGCACCCCTTAAACCATTTTCTTTTTCCGCACACCGGAAAAAAAAACCCTATACATTATAACGAGAAATACAACATTGAAACTTGTAGCATGAAGTCTTGATGTACAAGACTGTGTGATAAATGGACGAAACGGAACTATGGGATGCATGGTGTATGGGATCGAATGACGTCATATCCGGAAGGAAATTTTTACACAAAAATTCACCCAATCGGGTGACAGTTCTACTGAACAATTAGCAGCTGGTAAACTGTACCTGTTTGATTTTAATTTCTTAAATAATATAATTCATTATTAGTTTGTGATTATGATTAGTTAATTAATTATTGGACTAAATAAGCCTGGTTTGCATCAGCAGGAAAAATGTTTTCTTCTTCAGTAATGACGCGCTATTGAAGATCTTTCTTGGACAATGCACACAATTCATTTAAAATCAAATCTTCAATATTAATGACAATGAAAAATAATCATAAAAATGTATTATAATTACAATTATAATTTTCCTTCATAAATATTGTACAATTACTAATGTGTTAATTTTAATTTTATTCAGCCAATCAGAAGTGCTAGTATCTTGGTCGAGCAAATCTGCCTTGTATGGAGTTATGTTCAAATCGTTATATTTATTTACATTTCTCAATGTCGTTTTGTGCTTTGGATATGTTTTTGTTGTACACTTGACCAGGCCTGACCTACATGTACCCATGGTAGAAGTTCCTGGGACATGTGCCCATGATAGAGGATTCTGGAACTTGTGCCCTGATAGAAGTTATGGGACATGTGTCTTGATAGAAGTTCCTGGGACATGTGCCCATGGTAGAAGTTCCTGGGACATGTGCCCTGATAGAAGTTCCTGGGACATGTGCCCATGATAGAAGTTCCTGGGATATGTGCCCATGGTAGAAGTTCCTGGGACATGTGCCCTGATAGAAGTTCCTGGGACATGTGCCCATGGTAGAAGTTCCTGGGACATGTGCCCTGATAGAAGTTCCTGGGACATGTGCCCATGGTAGATGTTCCTGGGACATGTGCCCATGATAGAAGTTTCTGCTACATGTGCCCATGATAGAAGTTTGTGAGACATGTGCCCATGGCAGAAGTTTGTGAGACATGTGCCCATGGCAGAAGTTCCTGGGACATGTGCCCATGATAGAAGTTCCTGGGACATGTGCCCTGATAGAAGTTCCTGGGACATGTGCCCATGATAGAAGTTCCTGGGATATGTGCCCATGGTAGAAGTTCCTGGGACATGTGCCCTGATAGAAGTTCCTGGGACATGTGCCCATGGTAGAAGTTCCTGGGACATGTGCCCTGATAGAAGTTCCTGGGACATGTGCCCATGGTAGATGTTCCTGGGACATGTGCCCATGATAGAAGTTTCTGCTACATGTGCCCATGATAGAAGTTTGTGAGACATGTGCCCATGGTAGAAGTTTCTGCTACATGTGCCCATGATAGAAGTTTCTGGGACATGTGCCCATGGTAGATGTTCCTGGGACATGTGCCCATGGTAGAAGTTCCTGGGACATGTGCCCATGGTAGAAGTTCCTGGGACATGTGCCCATGGTAGAAGTTCCTGGGACATGTGCCCTGATAGAAGTTCCTGGGACATGTGCCCTGATAGAAGTTACTGGGACATGTGCCCATGATAGAAGTTACTGGGACATGTGCCCATGGTAGAAGTTCCTGGGACATGTGCCCATGGTAGAAGTTACTGGGACATGTGCCAATTATTGAGTTTTCTGAGACATGTGCCCGTGATAGAAGTTTCTAAGAGATGTACCCATAATAGAAGTTTGTGGGACATGTGCCATTGATTGAGTTTTCTGAGACATGTGCCAATGGTAGAGATTTAAGGGACATATACCCGTATTTAGACTTTTGTTACATGTGCAAATATCAACAAACTCTGGGCACATGTGCCAGTATTAAAAGACGTACAGAACTTGTACTAAAATAAAATTGTACACATGTAATCGTCAACTTCATAGTGTACATGTGCCAATATAAAAAGGGCTTAGTGTACATATACACAATTTGTTTCTGCACCGTTATGAGCAATAATTTTTGTATTGTTTTCTTTTGAAATGTCCCGGCAACAAATGTCGCACGCAACATTTGTTTTAATTGTTCCAGAGAGCTTTTATTTGAAATGTGCGAAGGAAAATTTGTTGAAAACAATTTATACAATTATTTTGTTTTATGTTTTACTAAACTTTGTTTACACAGCCCTCAACATAAATAATTCCTGCTTCCGATGTTTAGAAGGAAAAATAAGGAACTTAAGAAAATAGTTGTTTGTCTTCACGTATTTCAGTTCTAAACTCAAATTTTATACTTGAAATTTTCGCTACATTGTAGTCGGTTGTACCGCTGGGGGGTAAAATCGCATGTTATCTAGAACATATTGGGTAACCCTGTACTAAATTTGACTGATACATTTTTCTAAGAATTGTATACTAGTTATTCAACAAGAAGTAACGTATTTTAAAGATGAAAAGTTATTTAAAAGAACACACGTGGATATAAATTAAACACAATAAATATATCTCAACTGAACGCAAAATGTGGATTATTATTTAAAATTCAAGAAATAATTATTGTAGTATATCCACTGGTATATCCACACTCCTATAGTTGATCAACGCAGACGTCTAGTTTTGTCCATAGCTTCAAGCTGCTAAAGCGGATTAATTAACAACTCAATTAAAGACTCGTTAATCCACATTTTACAATAACCCTAATCTAGTGTAAACTCAATTGATTTTCCCCTCTAAACACGCATTCAACTGTATTGTGCAGCTGCTAATTCCATTATGCTATACCCCCGACCCTCCACTTATACATATATTCGCATACTTTCTCGGCAGGAGATATTTGATATTACCACACGTTATACGAATGTACACAATTTGTTTTTTAGCATTAACCTTGAGCCGATGTCTCAAATTTCTTTATCGTAACAAATGGTTCTCTTTTTCAGATACTTTTTTTTCCTTTGTTCGCATTTTTCGTCACAATTCTCATGTTTATGTTCAAAAGACGAAGCAGCAATATAAACCTAATATTAGTTTGATATCAGTTGTTTGTATATTATTTATAACTGCACTTTCAGAGTAAGGATTTTTAAATTTCTGGGTTTTGATCCCAGATGGCTTTCGAGAAATAAAAATTATGGATGCATTGTCCGGTTGGTGATTGTTTTTTTTTATTTGACCAAAAAAAAATCGTGCGCGATAAGAAATAGAACTCTGATATTATTGTGTATGCCCTGATGGACTGTAACGTAAGGCGTGATGGTAACTTAGTGATTACTGATTGGTAAACACGCATTCAATATGATTGTAAGCTTGTAAGATTGTATAATGTTTTGGTAGGACAATACCTCTGGTGAGGTATGTGTGACTGTGAATGAACACTTGAGACTAATTTTTTTTTGTGGTGGTTTAATACAAATTTTACATGTACTTCAACATGAACACTAATTAATTATCTGTGCTAATTGGTTGTGTAATACAATTACATCTGATTACAATATTTGATTTTTTTTTTCAAAATTATCATGAGCGTTCTTGCGCATCTTCGCTTCAAGGTGAAGGTCGTACCACCCGGGCTCACATTTTCCTTGTACAAATCACGTGCTGTGACGTCATAACGGACATATATTTAAAGATAATACTCACTGCGTCCTACAAAAGGTTGCATGACCTTAGGTTGACCTTAGACCGTATTGTTGTCTTTGTTAGAACTAAAAAAAAAATATGATCATTCAGAAAAAAAAAAACCCAACATATTTGTTATTGTTTGGAGAACAGGTGACATTGTGTGTAGGTTTGTATGTTTGTAGGTTTATGTCCGTGTAGTATGTTGAAGAAGAAAGTCATAATTTACAGTGCCAAAAAACTTAACATTAAATATACTTAAAATCAAATTATATTATTAATTTCGTTCTACTTTTTTTTTTTAGAAAACACATCAACAAATACTTAATAAAACTGTTTTTAATTAGAATTCAATATCTTTCAGATTTTACCGACAGTAACACAAAATTAAAAATAAATCACTATACAATTTTCATTTTAATCGTTATTAACGCAAAATATAACCCCCCCCCCTAATTTCGCAAAAAAAAAAAAATAATGTTATATACCAGTTTGTTCATTGCTAGTGATCTTATCAATCTAAAAAACGTCCAAACTATAGCGATGTGAACCATGTTTCAATTATATCCCCAACTTTATTTCATTAGACAAACTAAAATAGTGTTTTTAATTATCTTACTCTTAGCATTTCATTTTCATAGTTTGACACTACGCTTTTGTAGATATTTATTTTAAATCAAGAAGTTAACAATTTTTAACTCGGCCAAACGATATGTCAAAAATCTGTCTTTAAACACAACCGAAATACAACTGTTTTTCTTTGATTAACCCCCCCCCCCCCCCCCCCACATTAACATTCATCTCGCTATTGTTATTACAAGCGCCATGTTGCGTATTATAGTTTCACTTGATTTTTTTTTTGGAGTCATCCCGAATTTCGGGAATTCCCGCTGCGGCGCGGAGTTAAACGAGCTTAACTTTAGGGGACGGGCCACTCGTCTAATAAATACCCAACCCACAACTCTCATGTTACAATCATACTTTTTTTTTTCCTCCAGATATATTTTCTAGAAGGCAATGTAAAAACTTTTTGTGCGGTGAATATATATATATATATATATATATATATATATATATATATATATATATATATATATATATATATATATATATATATATATATATATATATATTGTAGTATGAATGACTTATGTGCATAATGATATGAAATTGAAAAGATTGCAATAAAAATCGACTTTTAAAATTCTTTCATGTTTTCTTGTTATTCTTTGAGAGGCTTATAGAAATGTGTTGTGTGATGGCTTTGGTTCAAAGATTAAACAGTGACGCCATCACCAGTCGAATATCCTATGGCTGCATAAAGTTTAAAATAGTCCAGTAAATCATGGACAAAGATGACACGGAATCGTATGTCAAGAACAGAGGATGACATGAGTGTATATGTCATGATCACGTGATGAAGAGGCAGTGGCGTAGCCAGGATCGTCTCAAGGGGAGGGGGTTCCAATTTTTACCCGGGGACAAACTTTCGATTTGCACCCCCCCTCCCCCTCAAACTTTCGATTTGCATATTTTCGATTCATACTTTTTATATCTATACCGAGGGGTCTATGGGGGGGGGGAGTACGACCCCCCCTAGCCCCCCCCCCCCCCCTGCCTACGCCATTGTGAAGAGGCGAAATGCTATGGACATTTCAATAGCCAATTGCATTCGTTCATAAAGAAAACACAACTAACTAGGGAACTAACTTTGACATCTGCCGACCAAGACAGGTAACCTGACTGTGTAGGTATGATAACAGAGGGGTAGAGAGGGGTACGGATTGGTGCTGGTCGGTTCCAGGAGTATGTCTGTAGGAGGTCATGAGCTCACTCAGCTATAGCGGGTACCTGACTTAAATCGATGAAAGTAAAAATAGCTGTACTTCATGCTGTACCATATCTACCATAGATAGATATGGACATTTTGTTGGCCTTATAGATCGTCTTGTTAGAGATGGAGTGTTATTTGGCTACCAAACTATAATAAGCTCTGTAAGCTCAGAAATACAAGGTATGACACTATTATCGTCATATAATACAAAGATGAAAACCAGACTATGACGATCTTTCTGTAACCTCAGACATTACAAAGTATGACAATACTATCGTCATATAATACACAGATTAAACACAGACATGACAAGGTAAGTCCATGTTTACTTCACATAATACACAGATTAAAAGCAAATAAGACAAAACAGAATACTAATGGACATCAACAAGTTGATGAGAATCCTTCCATGACTATTATTGACATGGATTTAAAAAACTTGTTTTTTTTTTTAGATTATACCATCAAAACTGGCGTGCATAATAAAACAACAAAAAAATAAAATAAAAAATAAACAAAAAACTTCAGCCTGAAAATAATTCAGAAATTTAATATTTTTAGAATCAACGTTATAAAAGTTTCAAATCCAGAGAACTTGAAAATA